CAGCTGTTCCTAGGTTCCACTTGAAGCAGGGTCCAGGATTAACTCACCGAGTCGAACAGCGAATTCGAAATATTTCAACCAACTAGATTTTAATTCTAATCTACGCTCACCAACTCCCAATTAAATTAAATTAAATAACACTAGGATTAGGGCACCCTGTTCTTCTATGCTCAAGTGTATTGCAATTGCTGTACCTTGGTGGAGTTCTTGAGCGTACTGTAGGCTCTAGGGGTGCGGGTTCGGGGGGATTGAATGATGAGCTGTTTCAACGCGCTCAGCAGCGGAATAATAAGGTCATGGAGCTTTATCCCTAGTGGAGATCCCCATCACACTGAATCCCGCGTGTGGATCTCTTATGTTTTTGCCTCTCTATCTCATTCACAACAAATATATCTTGGTATTGTTTCTTCATTACAGCAGTGTTGATCATCCTGTATTTACAGGCCTTGTTTTCTAAGATTGACTTACCTGAGAGAGTAGACTCTTGTCTGTGTAATTGGCTTAACGCCTGGGTGATAACCCTTTCGTAACCAAAACTCTTAGCCCGGATTATCCAGCGAGGCGTTGTTGTTGTTTAGGGATTCGTGCTTTTCATAGGGCTACAACTTGATAGGCGCCAGCTTTCTCTGGTCAGCCTGACCGCCGAGGGGGAGGTGTGCTTCCACCGGGCGCTGGTCAGGGAGTTGAACTGCTGCTCACCGCTCCCCCTTGCTCACGCCCGGATTATCCTTCTTCTGGCCTGGAACGTATAAAACTCTTCGCCCACCTTTGTAGCTTTCTCTCTTTTCCTTTCTTTTCCCCTAACGAATTCGTCTTTTTGTTCTATAAGGAAGTGCTAGGGCTGTATTTGGTAGCACGCCTGTTACATTACGAATTCGTTCCTCTATATCTTATAAGGCCTAAGAGCCTTCGTCCAGTGTATAAGACCTGAGAACCTTCATCCTGAGAATAAGGCCGGAGTGCCTAAGAAATTCCTTTCCCTAAACATGAATTATGATTCTTCTTTTGAGCACTCATTCTCAGCAGAAATCTTCACTGACATCAATGCTCTTGCAGCTGATAATGCTGATCTCTGAAGATTGATGCAACAACAAGCTGCACGAATGACTGAACTGCAGCATTGACTGAATGAACTTAACCCTCATAACATTCAATGTGCCTACACCTACCTTGTCTGATAAATCTCTAAAGGAATAATTTCTTGTTCTAGATAAATATAAACATGACCTTTTCTTATATCTTGTCCAAAAATTAAAAGTAAAAGATCAAGTTTAATGTTAATGATCTTGTTATTGATTTTCTATTAAATTAAATTTAATATATTCACAGTTAATTGAATGAAGATACCTTTATAAAGTTTTAATCAGAAATAGTTTTTTGCACTAAAGAACAGTATATATTTAAGAATATATTTTATCAATTAAATATACTTTTTTAGACTTTATACATCAAGTCAAAGTATTAAATTGATTAAATAGAAACTGATGAATAAATACTGTATATAACAATGTGACAGTTTGCCAGCAGCTGAAAATGGCTGTTTTCACAGCTGCTTTTGGCCTCCTGCCAACCACCCAATCTCAATCATCATGTGAATATATCCCCATAGCTGTGATGCTTTCCTCCATGCATGGTCATGAGTTTTGAACTTGCTGTGTTTTCATGTGCTTTCAAGCACTCTCATTCACCAACATTTACTCACTGCTCTTCTTTTGAAAGGAGGAGAGAAGCTGTTTTTGATACTTCACTCTGTTAGTTTTGACTTCTTCTGAAGATTCATGTTGTTCTCTCTGCTTTCAGTCTTCATCACTCTCATCATGCTGTTGACATCTCTCTTTCCTTCTCTCCTTCACAGCACTACCTGGTCAGTTCTATTCATGAAAGTGTCTTAAGTCATTCATTACTTGTTCTGTTTCTCTCTACTGTCAGCTTCTCTTGAACTGCTTTGATCATGACATCTCTGTCTTGTTTGACCAGATCTGACAGACAGAGTAGCAGTAAAATGAATGTTTTAGCTGCTCTGAATTCTCTCTTCACATTGAATGTCATCATTTCAGACAGTGAGTATAAAAGTGACTTCATCAGTCATGATGAAGATGATGATGACAGTTAACTTCTCACTGAACACTATTTGACTTTAGCAGAGAGTCTTAATATCACTCAGCTTTAACAGAAGTGATACAGCTTCAAAATTCAGAAAAAACTCAATGAGATCTGTGATTACTGAGAGAGATAGACTGTGACTTACTTGACTCTTCAACAGTATTATAAACTCATCAGTGATGCTGAACAGATATTGTCAGCACATCAAGACTAACACAGAGCAGCAATAAAAGTAAATCTCTGATTCAGAGAAGATGATTCATTTTCTGTATGTGTTCTTCAGTTGATGATGTGATATCTGTTATGATAAAAATAATCAATACTGTTCAGATATTAAATGCAAAAGCTCACTGAAGACATTTTGAAAATAATGACATCTTATTCTCAAATAGAAAACAGTATCAGAACTCAACAAAGATACAATTGTCAAGATGAAAGATGTGAGTACTCTCTTCTTGAGTCACTAAATCAGAAGCATCACTAATCTCTTGCAGATTGTTGTATAGATGATCACAGAAAATGAGCTGACTTTTGTCAGACAATCAAAGAAGAATATATATATCAAAGATATTACTGAGTTCACTTGAGTCATTCTCATTATTACTGAGATAATATTTGTTTCTGATTGACAGCACATTCAAATACTTTTCTTCTTGTAGTTTGTAGTCATCATCATCAGTCATTTCTCAGTAATTCTTCATCTTCAGTATTGAGATATCATGCTAACTCTGATTCAAGTTTCAGATAATGAACATTTTCAATTGTTCATATTCTTAAAATCAGAGTTTATTAAAAGATTTTTTGAAGATAAGACACTGTATGTGTTTCTGATTCTTGCAGCATGAGCTGATTGACTGACAGAATGATAGAAATGAGTTTAAGATTCTGAAAATCATCTTTGACTCAACTCTGATTCTCAGCTCACATATCTGCCTGCTGACTATGCTCTTTCATATTGAAGAATTCAAGTCAATTTCAACAACTGAATTAGTGTTGAATTCTGCAGAGAAACTCTATAGTGTCAAAATACTGAATGACAAGAGACAGCAATCACTGCTACTGAAGAATGAATTACTGAATAAGTTTATATTTTGTCAGATAGAGCTAACATTCACTGAATTTAAAATTTACCTGAATAAGAGAATGACTTCATTCATGATGAGTTTTCAGATACACTGAGCTGATGAGATCACAGACTTTGAAAAGATTGCTCACTCATACAATCTCTGCTATGCTGAAGCTAAGACATTTAATAACAGTGATAAGTACTTCTTCATTTTCTTCATGTTTCAGTCATGTCAGAAGACTAATGATGAACAGAGAAAGTATCAAAGACTCTTCAGAACATTATACTTCAACACATGAATATTCACACCTTCATCAAGCATTATCAGGTGAATGTTGATGTTGATACACAGAGAATAGTTTAGAAAACAGACTTTCAAACAGAATTGATGCAATTTGCCTGCTCAATGAATGCATTGATTGATCTCAATCAATTATTTAAGCTCTCTTCAGAAGAATCAAGATCTTTCAAATATCTTTCAATTGTTCTTGATCAGCAAAATACTATTCAGAAGCACAAGTAGAAATTAGATGACTGTGAAGCTGAGTTAGAACATGTCAACAAAATGTGCAAGACTGTTTTAGAGCATCTTGACAACAGAGTACTCATCAAGTTCAACTCTGAGATGCTGAAGAGACTGAAGATTTTCTGTGATCAGATAGCAGAAGCAAAGTTGATATACAACAACACTGTTCATGAGCTGTGTAATGAGAAGCAGCAGCAGCAGAACTGACAGATTCATGAGAATCTTGAGCACTATAAGAATGAGCAATCTGTGATTGATCTTGAATGACAACTGGCTGAGAAGCTAGTGAATATCAAAGTCATGAACACTTTCAAGCACAAGACCTTCATGCCTCTGAAGCACTTGATGTTTGTTGACTGCATGCTGACCTTGCCAGGTGCTAGTCTTGAAGCAGAATATCAGTGAAGAATCAACACAATCAACACAGGAATCACATTCTGTGATATGGAGAAAGAGCAGCTCTCATGCTGGCCTGCAGTCAATGATGATTCTTATCCTTCAACCAAGCAGCAGAGGTGCTTAGTAAAGAATAACACTGAGGTTCTCTTGCATCAAGCAATGAAGTCTGTGCAGGTCAAGTTCACAGCTGAACAGTCTCAGACTTGCTTTCAGTCTTGCATTTGCTTTCTCTGTATTAGAAATTCTAGTTGCTCACTGAAGTGCTGCATTAAAAAATACATAACACCTGGATCACTTACAAGGCATTTTCTATGAAGGCATATCAACTCTTCATGACTAGCCACTGGAGAACTAGTTTTGTAGTATATATATATATATATATATATATATATGTAATAAAAGGAGTTGCAGTCACACATAATGACCATGCTTACTTACTCAAATGCATGCTATATCAAAACACAAATGAAATGCAAGTCAGGCTACATTGCTCTATCAACATATCCACTGAATCTGCATTAGTTTGTATCCCTCCACTAATACTCTTGCTACAAAATGCTGAAAAACCTAAGTCACCATCTAGAACTATTTGATTCCTCATTTCAACTGAGAATGCCAGTTGATGAGGTTGGAGTTGGAAAGTTGAGGGCAGCAGAGCTAGCCAGTGTTCAAGAAAGCAGATGTGGACAGTGTTGCTGCCATTAAATGGTGCCAATCAATATTTGCCACAATCATGGATTCTGTGTCTCTGATCCCAAGAAGGCAGCGTGCGCGAATGGCGGTTGCATTATACTCCGATGAAAAGCAAGCAAAAGTTGAGAATTTCATCTATTTATATTTGGCCATTCTATGCGCGCCGCACTCTACCAATCAATGAAGTCCCCATCATCATCAACCCATTTTATTTCACAAAATATGATTAATCTCACTGCGATCCATCGTATCTTGAAAATGGGCATCTTGTAGTTCTTGAATGATGAGTGGTTGCTGCTGGAGTTCCTTCCTACGCGAGGTGTCCAGATCTGGCCACGCAGATCGTGTAATCACTGATGTGGTTTGATAAAAGTGTAGAATAGGTTTGAGCAGCTTAGGTTTTCAAAAAGAGATTCTTACACTTGGTAGAGTCAGCTGCCGCTCTTTTTAAATGGCTCATGATCTTGGCGTCCTTAAGGACGCCAAGACGTGGCTTTTTGTGAGAGCATGGCTTGGCGCGCTCCTGTCCCTGATAAAAATGGGCAACCAGACCATGCAAACCAACCAAATCACGCCTTGGCGTCCTTCTGGTCCGGACTGTGACAGGCACTGTTTTTGGGCTGCTTGGCGTGTTATGGAGTCATCTCTCACTTTCCTGTTTCTGCCTCAATTGTTGGAAGTCATAAACACCACAGAATACACACAATGACTGTCAAATCGTGTATGCTGACCAAATCGCACAAAATGTCAAAAAGTGAAAATGCAAAATTACAAAACTGCAAACATTGCCTTTTCGCACGAGTGCAGAGATGCAAGCCCAGCCTTGCCAGTTAGCGCTGGGCCTTGTTAAGCTTTAAGGGCCAAAACGGTGGGCCATAAATGACGTCATAGGTGGAGTACCTTCCAGCCGTCAGCCCTTTGCCCTAGCGACAGGAGTTGAGGTTAAGCACAGACCTACCCAATCTGCGGCAATTATCAGCGAAATATACCCTATTCTTTAGAACATCGTGGCCTGGTCATACCAGATGTCATTCTTGGAGATCCCCTATTCTCTAGATCAGCATGACCTGGTCCTGCCAGATGTCATTCTTGAAGGAAATATCCCCTATTCTTTAAGAGGCTTTCTAAATAAATACTCTTTAATGGCCAAACTTCACAATATTTAAAAGCTGTTAAAAAATCCATGTGTTCTAGCATCTGACAAGGCCTTCATATCTCAGATAGCAATACAAGAGAATGCCTTTGTGAAATATGGGGACTTGAGAACTCTTACTCGAATCGAGTAACTTCATGTGTCTAAAAATATCTCAAGCAGAGCTAACCGAGTCGCACAGCAACTTAAGAGAATCATTTTATTCATACAAGCCTCGTGTAAGTGTTTTCTCAGGAATCCGGCTGAATACAAACGAATTTGGCGATCCGGCGATCCGGCGAGGCGTGGTTGGTACGGACCCACATAGTTTTTGTAGCGATCCAATTGTTTCGAATGCGTGCGAAGGCATCTAAATGTATGCCTGGTTGATCCATGAAAAATTGTCGACTCACCTGATGCAATCAACAGAAAACCCGTGCTGTGGCCCTTCACAAGAAAACCAGGACAAAAAGGACCAGACAGCCACCCAAGTTACAAAAAGTAAAGGTCCACAAAGTATTTTGTAGGCTAGATGTGAAGAGCGGGAGACTACAAGATGGTAGAGTAGACAAGATCAAAGAGCACAGAGAGAGGAGGGTGTGTACAGTAAACAGCTAAAGAAACTTGAGAAACTCCAGCGAAGGCTGTGTGCCGTGTGGGTCCCCGAAGCAAAGGAAAATATATAAACCGCAGCGGGAAGCGCCATGCTGAACTTTGGTTCCTCTTGACGTAGGGCCTCCTTGGATATTTCCAACGTGGCACTCACTCTACCTTTGTTGGTGGTAGAAAGTCGCTGCTCGAAGCATCAGACTTTGGGAAGAGATCTCAATTTGTAGAAAAAAGGTGGGCTCCATTGGAGCCAAAATGTCACTTTTCAAAATATCCAGCAAATTCAACTTTGAAATCAAAATAGCCAACTCAATCTTGAGCCACCTAGTCAGCAATTCTCGGGCATATAGGTCCATGGGCGTAGGTGATGACAGGTATTTTGAACTCAATAGACAATAGTTTCTTTCTTGCGCTACATCATGTTAACAACCCGATATCCTTTGCCTTCCTCTAACTGATTGGTTGCTTTATTCATTTACCCTCTCTGTATCCACATATTACTATACGCCCGCACACACCTCCCGTCGACCATTACGCCCGTCGCCCCATTACGCCAGTCGCCCATTATGCCTATCTGCCCGTCATCCTATCCGCCCGTCATCCTCATCCTATTCCGCCCGTTATCCTACCCGCCCGTCATCCTATCCGCCCGTCATCCTATCCGCCCGTCATCCGCCCGTCACCCCGTCGACCATTACGCCCGTCATCCTTAGGTTCTGCCTTCTCCTCGTCTGATATAGGAACGCCGGCAAGTAACATATTCATATACCTCATATATTCCCTGTCCTGATAAAATTCTGGAGCCCTATACATCACCTGCGGGGGTAAATTCTTTCCGGTTGCACTCACATCCACACTCTTCTGCCAACTCCAATGCTGTTCTGGCGTTTCACAGAACTTGCACTGGCAAGGATGTCTCGGAGGCGGGAGCGGGCCTCCCATGGACGCGGTGCTGAGCTGCAACGTTTTTTCTTGACGGCCCAGGGATCCCACTCAGGATCATATGCAGCAAGGCAGTTATTGGGGCTTGTACAAGCCATCACTTGCAATGGGAGACCTTATTTCAAGCTGTGTTTAGTTTAGAATTTGACATAGCTAAGGTTTTCAACAGCATCCGGAATTTCTAATTTTCCGGGATGCACTATTTCTTATTGGCGCAAGCAAGGTAATCAATCATTTTGTTTGATATAATAAAATTATCAACCAGGAACAAACAACCCATGTATAACACAAAATCAAACAAAGCCCTGTATTAGATAGAGAAGATGGTAAAAGGCAAGAGATTGTGCAGGGAGGGCAACTCAATTGAAACTGGAATAAAGCAAAGAAGTACAACGGAGCAAGAGCTTTTCGTCCATCCATCATATTCACACAGAATTAGGGAAAATTGGTATAGGGACAATTATTGTAACTACAAATTGTTGCCTTCTAAGTAGCAAAATTTGCACGGTGCATGAGGAAAGTGTGGTTATTCGCATTTACCCCGTTAATAGGAGAATTCTGGACATGTAGCGGGTCATATCTTGGGTCTCGGTTTACGAAACTGCTCGGAACATATGCGGGTGGATGATGGAAGGCGTCGACGCCGCTTCCTGCCTGGGGAGAATGGCGAAATGAATTCATGTCTATGGCAGTAGCTGAAGTAGCGGGGGAGATTGAGAGTGGGCTCAGTAAATTAAGTGTCATTCCCGGAGTAGGGCAAGGCATGCCCATACAGTTCCTAATATGCTGTAGGCTATCAGAATCCTGTTGGGAATTGCTGGACCAATCCTCCGAGTCGTAACGGGAGCCGTCATAGACTTGTGGCTGGTGAGGAAAACCTGTCTTGGGGTCAAAGGAGTTATGAGAGGAGCTGAGCGAATGGTTGCTAGTTACGGGTGATAACACATGCTGAGATGAGGATGCCACATTGTTTCGGGACCCCCACCCAATTGTGTGCGAAAATCCCTCATCGGTAATTCCCAGGTGAACTGGGAAGAGATCTGGGTCATCATGGGCATCGCCCTTCAAATTGAGAGCGCTGAAAGGGCGAGTAGATGATAACATGTCTTCAAATATGCGCAGCTTGTTTTGAAGGTCCTTTTCTTGAGTCGATTTCCCAACTTGGCTGATTTGCTGTTTCAGCTCGTCAATAAGCTTCTTGACATATGCAACATCGCGGGAAAGCTTTCGATCGGCACCACGACGTCCAAACAACTTGACCTTGCAATAGCATACTTCGGGCCGGTCTTCAAGGGGTAGATCTCCATGGCCGGTAGATATAACCTTTGTTTTGGCGCATAGGCGAATAGGAATTCCCTCCATGCGTCTGGAAGGGTTAAAGTCGGTGGAGAGGAAATTGAAACGAACTAATATCGAGCAACATGGATTTCCGGTGGCAGGGTTCGAGGACCAGATAACAGAAAACCCGTCGAAATTAGAAGTTTCCAGCTGAACTTGAGATGGTCTGATATCTCCATCTCCGCCTTGGTTGCGGTCCACGTGTTCTACCGCCAAAAGCTTTCCATCGCTTTGATGGGCTTCGTTGGAGCCACGGCCCTCCTTCCATAACTGCCACCAACTGGCTGGCTTTGAGCGTTGTAAAGAAACGCGGATAAAAGTGCGATATTTCAAAGGCTGTGCGCCTGATGTCATTGGCGCTGTATCCAGAACCGACATCGAATGGCATTGCCGCCTTCACTCGCCGTATCACTGCCCGCGATCTAAATTGATAATTATTATTCTGTTATACACATTATGTGAGGCGAATAAGCTGTCTTCACCAGGCCTACCATAGGCCTAAATCAGGAAACTGAGCCTGCATTTTCTGAAATGCATCATTTTCACCAATTGACAACCGCTCATCCCACAATTGCTGTGACATCACCAGTACGGATTCCTCAGGGGCTAAAGGTCCAGATGGGCGATCGGGGATTCTGACTTGTAGTAGAGTATTTTCGACAAGGCTCCTATCTTCGACTTCTCTCACGTAGCAGCCGACCACATATGCTGGCCATATCAGAACTCGTTGATTGTAGCGTGCGTCAGTTGCAGCGTGAAGACAACGCATCATGTCCAACAGATTTTTGATCAGCAGGTCTACGTCAGGCATAGGGCGGACACGGCTATGTAGCTGGAGCAGCGCTGTGAGGATAAAGCATCGATGAACATTACTGGCATAGTCATCACTCTCGGGGGGTAATTTCAACAAGAGCTCCAGGAGTTCAACTGCTACATCCTCATTCCTAGACAAACGAGCTATCAGATCCAGAAGCGGCCGCGGCAGGCCGGTGGTTTTTTCTATCCCTTCCCTTCCGGAACAATAAGTAGCCCAGATATGAACGGCCTCTGATCGCCGCCCCACAATCCACACGTCCATGTCTAAGCCGCCTAGAATTTCAAGTAGATTAAGTCGGGAGCAGATGTCTGTTTCCACTGCATCAGACACATTGACCGGAAATGCCAATAATAATGATAGGATCTGAGGAAGATGGTGAGTCCAAGGATATCCGGCTCTCATCTGCACCAGACCAGGGAGAAGTTAGTGTATTGGAAGATATTTGGGGGAGGAGGTGGCAGCGCAGGTGGGGCTTACAGATATTTGGGCCAGCAGGATCATAGTGAAAACTGACACTTTGGGGTTGCTGTTTGCGGATGGGGAGGTAAGAAAGTCTCTAGTTTTAGTAATGGCTCGGTCGACGCTTGCCAGTGAGGACACCCAGCAACATTGGACATGTAGTGCTATCAAAGCATTGACTTCATCTCTAATGATGGGAAATTGCCAATAGAGGGATCGTATATCTTGCACTTGGGACTCCTCATGATCCCAGTTGAATATACTGGTGCCGCTTGTGATAACTACATGCAAGTGTGTCAGAAAACTTTAGTTTGGCTTTTTCCAGGATTTGTTGATAGGAAATAATTCTCTTTCTCACAAAACTGATAGAGTTCATCATCTGTCTTTCGACTAGAGCAATTGCACATCAGGGCTCTCGGATAGCGTAGTGAGTGTGGGGCTTGCTGGTAGTAGGGGAGTAGCTGAGATTGGTATTGTTGCCGCTGTTGCTGCTGTTGCTGCTGTTGCTGTGGTTGGTGGTGTTGTGGTTGATACCACCCGACTCAGAGGGTCCAAAACTGGCGACAACGACGCGGATTTCCTTGCTACTTCCACCTTCTTCCAAATGAGACGGGGGGTGTAGTCGCAGGCAAATCCAAGGCGCTTACACCTCCCACACAATGGGCGGCTTTCATCACATTTTCGACTGACATTCACACACTGGGAGCAGCCAGTACGCGACCGAGTACGTGTTTTTGGGTGTCCATGAGGCCTCTGGGAAAGAGCAGACAAAAGATAGATCATTATGGGTTGCTCCTATCCTTTTATGCTTGCAGATAACCAGCCAAAACCAGGATATGATGAATGCAGAAATCACAGGCTACCAAGCGGCGTAGGCCAATTTTGGCAGCCTTGATTCTTTCCAGGCCATCAAATGAGGCGCCGGTGCCAAACATAAAGGCACAAGCATGTAAGTTCATTCGCTCCTACAGGAGCAAATTCCTCCCTTGTATAAGGACCAAGCCGTGGATGGACAGACATGTGTGGATGGCCGGCCTGCATTTGCACAAGGCAACGGGCTAGTGGTGATCGTCAAAGAGACATGGCTCAGTACTCGCTCCAGGGGGCACCTTCCATCGAAATATGCAGCAAGGCGATTATTGGGACCCGCACAAGCCACGCAAGCCCACCCCTTGATTCTAGCCGTGTATAGTTTCCCAGGTCAACGATAAGGTGTCAAGAATATATTTGATTGTCCAAAACAAGCAAAAACCAAACATTTGGCTTAGGTCCATTGTGGTATCAAAGTATCCAAGCATGGATAGCTGATATACAATGAAACAAGCCTCCACTGCACAGTAGAGTTTCCCGGGTCATATACAACGGGTAGAATTCACCACAACATCCGGAAATTCTAATTTTCCGGACGCACTATTCTTCATTGGCGCAAAGCAAGGATGTTCTATTTTTGAGTAACCAATCAATTTCCTTTGATTTATATCAACCACGAACAAACAACGCATGTACACCAGAAAACAAAACAGGGCCCTGAATCACATAGAGAAGATTAAATACAGGCCATCAACATATCTTAAACCAATAATTATCGTCCGATAGCCTTGAACATGTGCAGTTTGGTTTTGTGGAATCAATTTCCTGAAACTCCCGCTACGAGCTCCGCACAGGACGGGAGCCGAACAGAAGGAGAAAGTACCTGTTTCAGCTTCATTTCCATCTTATCCAGCCTTGAATCCCTTTGCATAGCTTCCCGCTGAAGCCGAGTAATTTCAGCGCGGAGAGATTCGATGCTATCTGGTTTTGTATGAAAGCGGTGGATATGGATTTTGAGATCTGCCTTTCTGCTAAAGCTGCGATCACAGGCTGAATAAGGACACATCCACCTCCATTTGCTGTTCGCTTGATGAATCGTCCATAGATGACGGCGCATGCAGGCTGCCAGGGTAAATCGTTGGTTGCAACCTGGGTTCGTGCACTTGTATGGGCGGTCATGTTTATCCATGTGTTTGCTGTTAAGGTACTTAGCACACAGTTCAAGAAATAGGAACTATAGCCAAAAAGGGTGGCACATACGTCCACTCACTGCGTCGCTTGAAGATATGATCGTGGCAATCTGGGTGATCACAGTATATCTGGCCGGCGTCATTTTTGGGCGCCTCCCTCGTTCGCCATGCAGCCAGTCTCGGTTCAGAATCATCAACCACGACTGGCGGCACCTCCTGAGCCATTTTGGTTTCTTGGGGGTGGGAGCTGTCGTGACCTCTGGGCTTTCACTTCTTCGAGGACTTGGATATAACGACTCTTGTTCAATCCCGTTTTCTCTTTGCTCTTTGTGGCTGAGGAATTATTTTGGCCAACTGGGCAGGCAACCACAATGCGACTTTTGCAACCATCCAGAGGGCAACCCAGAAGACAACGCCAAGCACGATAAAAGGAAAGGTAAAAATTAGAAAGCAGCTAAAAACTCTTTTGGAACGGGGGCCAAGGAGATGGTTGAGATTGGGGTTCTGTGATCCCATGCCGGCTAGCGTCGTTTCCGACGTATGTAGAGAACAAGAGGTGGGTGCAAGACCTTTCTTTATGGAATCTAGCAAGAGACACAACAAGGTCCTGAGTGCAAGCCAGCCTTACCTTGACCGCATTTGCTTCCCACCCGGGGAACTCGGATTGAGCCCCTGGAATTTGTTAGCACAGAGACCATGAACAAATGGTTCGGATCTTCGCTTCGCCCAACCCAACTGGGGATCAATATGTGCATGGCCATCCATACCCAACAAGCCACGAAGGTACAGGAGGGCTGGCGGCATTTGCTTATGTACGGTATGACACCATTTACATTCTCCAGCAGCATTTCCACCAAGCAACGGCCTAATCGCTCTGGGTGTGTTGCTTGGAGATTGGGATCGTTTTGGATGAGTTGAGATTTTTATTGATAAAACATATTAACATGCACAATGGAACAGGTCTTGCTTCAGGTGGTTTCTGCGTTCTTCACAACAACTTGTAAATCACCCATCTGAAGGTACTCTACCCGTTGACGAAGCCTAGGTTCTTGCGACTGACGATGCAAATGGGATGAGTCTCATTTTTAGCAGCCCACTTTCCTGGTCAGCAATGAGGCGTTTGGGCCAATACTGTGCATGGATCCTGGCAGAGGCACACCAAAAAAAATTGCTGCAAGCGATGGGATCCTTGTTTTGGGTGAGGCACAATTAGTGTCGTTTTCCTCGCCGCCTTCTTAGCCAATCACAAGTTCGGAAGTGGCAGTTACGCACCAATTAAAAGCGGTGGTAGAAAGACGCGCGCTAATTTTGCCCCTCCCCTCCTGAAAACCCCAGCTGCGAACTGATTTTCAGCTCCGCGCCTGGCGCAATTGCACTTTCTTACAAATATCACCAGTTTAAGCAAGAACCTTATTCTGAACAGGTGTTTCCATTTCGAATAGCCTGGGAATTGTTTTGGTATTTAGGAGCACAGATTATTTACATCTCCGATTAGCTGGCTTCTCCCTCTTACAACATATGAAAATCATCCAGCCATTTTTGTAAATCCGACTCAACCACTTTCTGAACTCCGTGGCTTTGTGCCGCAATCTCAGCGAAAGCGGGATGCTGAAAAGCCTGTTGTTTGATATTTTCCTTGTCTTCGATTAGCTAACTATTCGTCGCGTTCTTGGCCCGCACATACCTTCACGGTGTGAAGCATAGACTCGAATTCTGTAGAAGTCTTGAAATTCCAGCCCTGACGATATCTGTTCCTAGCCCAAAGGTTTTCGAGCCCATCAGCATCATCCGGAAGGGAAGATATAAATGAGCGGAGTTCGCCGAGTCCGACTTCATCCGTGCCAAAATGCCACGCGAGGGTAGAAAGTGCTGTTATTTCATCGCCTGAGAGCCCCTCGTACCAGCGCTCTAGATCCTCCGTCGGGATCAAACCGCTGGTGGGAGCCCAGCAACATACGATAGACTCCAATGCGGCAACGGTTGCGTCGCGGGTAAAAAATAAAGAACGCTCAAAAATACTCCCAGTATCTACTGCCGCCTTGGCCATATTGTCGACGCTGAGGATGTTGTCAGCGGGGATATCTTCGCGAGCGGAGCTCTCCTGGGTGGGTGCTGCTTGCACGGCATCTGACAGAGATGTGCCCATCGGCGGAGTTGGCAAGATCTTTTTCGTCTGACTAGAAAGATTGTCCGCGCTTCTCCGCTTGCGCGGGTTCCCCGGCGGTGGCGGTTGCAGTGAGGATTGATCTGACGAAAAAAATCAGCAGGGTTCTGAGTTAAAAACACTCTGAGTAGACTAACCTGACATCTTCTTGGGAAGTTGCACAAGATCTCTGTGGCTTGATAAAGGGCACAAGGGAGTGTAAGGAGATAGTAAGTAGTATAGCGGAAGTTGGGACGATCAACCATTCTTATACCGATCTGCCCACAATGGTCCCATCGGGTACGTTCTGTGACACCCACCGTTCCCATGCCTGGATGACCCAACAGTAAGATTTTAAAGAGTGAGAGTTGTCTATCAGTTTGCAGGTGCGCAAGACATAGCTAGGCAGAGATGCGGACGGCGAAAGATTGGCAGAAAGTAAGCTATCGTTTAAAGACACCTCACGGCCGGGTAAGGTTAAAACAATATCTCAATTTTCCACCCAGCCAAAGACTATACTTAAAATACAAATTTCAGTGATGCAAAGTGGAGTTGATCATTTCCGCCCATTCTCCAAGATATCAGCTGCGTCCAATCCCTCATCCAAGGCTAGCCCGTATTTGTTTGCGAGTTCTTCCAGATCCTCATTCATCTTTACAACTGCGTCCCTAGCACCCTTTGCTTTGATGAACGTTTCCCAATTAGATATCCCTACTCTGGTTCCATCTTTGGTTTTCGCGGCAAATAGTACGCGAGCAGATTTCAGGTCATACATCAACCCGTAATAACTTTCGACTTCTTCAATGTCATCGATTGCGAACTGGTAGAGCTCGGTTTGGCTGTCGTATCTACCTGTTAGCAACGATTAAAAACAAGGTGGGGAAACATACCATCCAGGAGACATTGGTGTGCGGATGTTTGAAGTGTCTTTCGCATCCTCATTGCTGGGCATATCTGGTGGTGTAGAATTTGGGTTGTGGCCCAACCAGCTCAAAAAGCTGAGTACCTGCTGCGCCATGGTCGATAGTCTCTCGAAAGCTACCGAAAGACCTTCTAACACAGTCAGCAACTCAGCATTGTAGAAAAATGAGATATCAACCGACTTTGTGCTGTACAATAAAAGCAAAAGACCAGTCCCTTCGTATGCAGCGGCAGGAGCTACTTTCCGCCTTCTTGATCGACTGAGCGGACTGCAAAGACCTGGGCCAGCCCGTACTGAAATAAGGCAATGAGCGAGCGGTGAAGCATCTCATATAGTCAAAAGAATTGTGGTGCAAAGTTTGGCCCCAATTAGTATCAAGGTAGTGATCCCTTGCATGCGGATGGCACGGACAACCTAGGTTTGTATATCGCACTCGCGCTCCCAGGTGATCGACGCAAGTTTCCCTGTGCCCTCAACACAACCTGGCATCCCTGGCTGGTCTTTTCTGAGGCATCCCACATATACAACACCAGCGGCAATCGACCACTGTCCTCATTGGGCAAAGGAAAATCCAAAAAGAGCCATTTTCGGGTTCAATATCACTCTTGCCGGGACTCTAGGCCATCACGGCGCAGCTTTGGCGAGGAGAAATCGACCGATTAATTTTGGCGATGCTGTAGAGGTCAAAGCAACTATAACACGACATCAGTAGTCCAGTCGCACGACAAGCTTCCCAGCAAAGATAAAGACAAGGAGGTAGCAGAAATGAAACTTGGAAGTTAGGTCAATTAATATTGTTATGGTATTAAATGGAAATAGCTAAAAGTATTCAACGTTCAAGCAATTAGAAGCAAGTGAATTTAGAAAGGGCCTTGCTACACTGACTAGTATCCACAGGCAGTCACATTCCAATGCAATCAGAAACAGGAAATATCGGATGTGCTGTCTGGGAAGCCATGTAACGGCACGGTGTTCCCCAGTCCCCCAGGCCGAGAGGAAATATTTCGAGCCATATAGGCACCAATAGTGGTAATCAACATCACCTGGAGCCATATCAGCACACGTTGGAGAGAGAACCGTACTTTCACTGAACTTACTTGGATCGAAAGGGGCCAGTCGTGGACGAGTCCGCCTGCGGCAAACCCTGCTGTTACGAGAACAAGAAGTGCATGGATTGTAACTTCACGGATTACAGGCCCCTGAGATGGTATACCGCGAATTCCGCGCCAAAAAAGCAGGCCGGCAATCGCGAGTACCGTGTAGTCGATAGACACGACCACAGCTGTACCTTTCACCGACGCCTCGTAGGCGACCGAGCTAACTCAATGAGCACAAGGCCTATCAAGATCGAGGAGAAGAGTACACACACCATAAGATCAAACCGAACTTTACCGCGGGGGACAGAAAACCATATCCTAGAAATAATCGACGCAGCAGGGCGAGGATGAAATTAAGGGGCAGGGAATAACGTACCTCTAGAGCTAACGGGAATGCTGTACATATTCCCAAGGGATAGTAGAATGCTGGCGTATCTGAAACAAGCTTTTAGCATTTATCACCATCTCGGTAGAAGGGGCTGCTCACCCCCGCGTCTTAAGCCCGATAGACCAATGCCAATGACAACAGCATTGACGCAGATAAAGAGAACGAAGATTGATATCTCGGACAAACGGTGAGGCTGGGGGCGGTGAACGGTAAGCAAGATGAGATGCACCATACTTAGCACGATGAGCGCTGCCGACAGAAGTGCATATGGGATGTTAGGATACATTTTGTAAGAAAAAGGCGCCAAGTTGGTCCCTTTTGAAATGATCTATCGCGGAGCGATGTCTTGTGGTTTATAACTACCGGGCGGCCACTCTCTGTGCGCCTTGAATGGAGCTTTTTCGATAGCCCAGGGAGTATTCCCATTCTCATTTTAGCAAATGTATACACCTGTGCATAGGACGGGCGTAGATCCAGCAACTAGCGGATGTTAAGTCACTCGCTTCAAGCTGGAAATAATGTCCAGCTGGAACCGTGCTGGTAGATGTGATGAAACCCGGCAAGATGATAGCTCACTGTTGGCCACGCTAGTACTGCCCTGCGATGGCTAGATCGCCAAGATTCTGGTATTTTTTGCGATTTATACCAGAATCTTGGCAATTGTGTCAAGTGGTTCGTAGGGGTGGAATCCACCTGTCTTAAGTTAGAAAGGCTAATAGAGACTAGTCGTAGTGCGTACTTAGGATTCATTCCCAACTTTTTCAGCACCTCCATCGTCATCTCTCTCTATCCACCCACTAACCATGTCGGCTCGTACGGAACAAGTCCTTGCGAAGTTTACCAGCCTACTCAATCAACTTGCTCACTTCCTCAACGAGAACCAGAAATACTTATCGCCTGACAAATGCAAAAACTGTTATCATTCTCTCCCACCTTTGGAGAAGTCATCCCTTGGAAAAATTATTACATTATTACATATTGGGGAGCCGAATGCATCAATGAGCGAGAAACAGGATGCGTATGGTTCGCACAACGGCTACTCATCTGGAGATTTGATAGATTCTTCTAACAATGAGGAGCTCTCAGGCGACGATGAGTTCTCCAGCGATAGGAGAGGCTTGTCTGGAGGTGTGAAAAATACTTCCGGTGGGAGGCCCGATTTTAAAATCTTCAAAGTGTCGGTGGTAGCCATGCCCGAAACTGCAGAGCGATGGGCAAAAAGCCATAAGACCTTCTTTGAAGAATCATCGCAAAATCATCCTGAGGGACGAGGCTGGGGCGCCGTGTTTTCCAAGATTCACTGACGCGAAGTGAATCATGATACTCTCCAGATTTATCGACGATTCGACCTGTACGATTTCTTCTTTTTGGTCCAAACGTATGGATATCATAATGGTCTAAGATGGGTCTATCGTGCACGAAGGAAACTTGCCAGCAGGATAAAACAGCTGTCCTCTTCATCCCTTCAACTGACAGTTGACGATATGGACAAGAAGCTTGATCTCTGGGTCAACCTGGGTCGTGGATTTGCTGAATGGGTTATGGAGTTTAACGAGCGTCCAGGTTGTCTACTTCTGTTGCCGCTCGACGTCTCAGAAACCGAGTAAGTTAGCTGTTCCACAAAAGGGTTCAGTGCTAACATGACCCAGTTACACCGCTAGACGGTACCGTAAACATATAAAACCAGCAGTGCAGCATCTCATCAAGATCGGTTTTCAAAATGTCATGCGCCAGTGGGACCTCTATGCACTTGGGGACAGTATTGTTCTAGGGCTAAAGGAGCGACGCCCGTCCTTAGCCAAGATTGACGACTCCAACACAACCCAGTCGCAAGTTCACGATACGCAATTACTCAATCATATGGCACATTCGGGAACTGTCACGGAAGCTTTATCGAATATGCAGGAGCAGATGGACCCAGCTATGGACCTTAACCCGCAGTTCACCAACTCTGCCGGATTGATTTCTAATCCCGGGTGTTCAGCTAGAAGTACGCAAGCCAAATATCATTTTAACTAATACTAACTAACATAACTCCCCTTTTAGGCAGCACCTACGACATTTCTTTTGAGAAAACATTTAACCGAAATTCTACGCTAAGTTGTACGAGACCGTATGAATCCGCAATCTTCAGTGTCATTCAAGAGGGGAATATTCCAACCATGGTGACTCTTCTGCAAAACGGACAAGCCTCTATTCATGACGTTGACCCATATGGACTTGGCCTTCTATATTTATGGATCACTTACCCCGAATTCATCAATGACGTTACTGACAAAAAGTATAGTATGCCGCCTACTATTGCTGGAAAGCTCAAGGCGCTGCTAAAGCAATGCAGGTTTGTACAAGGTTAATCGCAGCTGGTGCAAATGACAATTGGGTTGATGATATTGAGAAGTACGTGTTGATAAACCTAAGTGCCGCCAGGGATAACATCGGTCTGACCTGTTTTAAGTAACCCAATGTATACGCTGCTGGACTGCGCGCTAGTATCCACAGCCATGAGCAATGGCTCCTCGTTCGAATTTTCTCAATATTGTGGGATGATTGGTAGCCTTTTTGGCAGATCATCGAGCAAGGTTGGGAATAACTACTTAGGTAGTCGAGGATTTACAACACTTCATGAGGTCCTTCTACGAATCAATACCAGTCAATCATTGGAGGAGTTTCTCGTCTGTTCATCTCGAGCCGGAGGTATTGCCGCTTTGATTGACCAGCCAGATTATCATTATCGAACTCCTTTAACATGGGCTGTTGAATTTGGCTGGGTTTACGCCGTCCGAACCCTTCTGAAATACGGTGCTAATCCACACAGAGCAATTCTCTCGGCACGCGGTAAATCTACTCTCCTACACCTAGTGCTTGCCGGTCCATGTTCTCAGTTTTCGAAAGGCGACTTCAATTCTGTTGTCGAGGTTTTGCTTGCTCAAGGCGTTGACATTAATGCGAGAGATCATGAAGGGTGGACGCCATTGCATATTGCAGCATCATGGGGTTACATTCCTCGGAGGCTCGTGGACAATCCTAGACTTAATTGGGGAATCTTGACGTACGACGGTCAGACAGCGGCTGATTTATCACCTGGCAAAAATGCTTGTAATATTTCTGTGATTTAGTCTTCCACAAGAGCCAATAACCCGAATGTTCCATCTATTTTGCTTTCCGTGTATTGTCGTATAATGTAGCGAGCAGACCCGGTTAGAATATCTTCACCGTCGGCCAAAAAGCCTCGACTTATAGGTCCGTCGACGTCACCATCCAGCTCGTATAACTGGTTCGAGTGTGTAACAAAACATATATAATGGTGATCCACTTCATCTTCGGCGATGGGGACGTCCGAAGCCCCCTTTTGAGCAGCTTTCGCATAAACCCTACAGATTTCTTCCGAGTCTTCGAGATATTTAGAACGGTTGGGCGGTTCAAGTTTGGTTAATTGGTGAAGCGCGGACTCGGTTTCTGAATGGACTGTGAATTTTTTTTCCCTTTCAATTAATGTGAACGAAAAGCGAAGTAAATCACCTACTAATGGAACTGGGCACGTTACAGACGGCGTGTAGGATGGCGTAGAGGCCACATGCATTGTTAATCGTCTGCTTTAACCAAACAACTTCTTCCTCAGCTCGGTTTGCCATAATTTGACCTTCAATCGTACGTTGCCCATACGCGGGGCAAGAAGGGAGAATTAGGATTAGTGCCAGGACAGGCCGCTGAACAAGGCACAGCTCTTCGTCTTCAAGTGAGCAGACATCAACGAATTTGAGAGAACTAAACACGCCCAAGTCATGCATCAACTCGGTAAATATCTCTGGATCAGACTCGAGAGGAATATAATGCTTTTTGTAATTCATATTGCGCTTTGCTGGACCAAAAATGGCTACGTCTAAAAGAAAAGAGAAAGGAAAAAGGGACACATGTTGGTTTGGAAGACGCAGCCAAAATGGTGAGGGGTAATTCTCACGTGACAACCACACTTCCCGTCAGCGTCTTGTAAAAGGTTCAACGCCTATTTGAAACTAGATGGTGCAAAGTCCCGTATTTGCTGGGCAGCTGTATGGGGTCATGTGATTTCCGAATTGCTGGTCGGTCCTACATTTTGCTGAAACAGGGGCATCAAATCTCAAATGAGCAGAATCTTAGGCTCACCCGAGCCTGTTACGTTTCCACGCGAGATGGCAATTTGCAAAATAGCACAGAAGAGAGCGAAATAGCTGGAATTGAAAATTATCAGTTTGGTGATGATTAAGCAGGTATTTAGGGTAATGTGAGGTCTTCTGATTGGTCCATAAGTTAGCAGGATTTGGCAGAAGTCTAAAGGAGTTTAGTTGCTCGCGCTAATCCGAAAATATCGAGAAGAGAGGCTGACATAAGAAAATTGTGTCCATGCGAGTTGGACTTGAAAGTTCCAAGAGCATACAAACAAGACAAACAAACAAGGTAGTTTATTGACCCACCGAAGTCGCCCGACCTATTTCTCTCTTTGGAGCATCATAACTACTTGTCAGGAAATCTTTAAGCATCAACCCATATAGGAATGGCAGACCTTTCGGAGGACGATCATGCCGTGATTTTAAGGTATCCTTTGAATGACTCACTTGACCGATTAGAAAAGCTTCTTCCAGACGCAGAGCATCACTACAATGATGGCACGACGGAAAGCCGCGAAGCCTGCCACGATGCAACATCGAAACTCCTCACCACCTTGATGGGTGAAAAGTCGGCTTTCCACCTACGTTCACCAGCAGGCAATAAAAATGTGGCATCCGAGCTATCAAGATTATTCACCTGCCTTCAAGATGGCGACTTCAGCTATGAACACTATCGGACACTAGTACGACTTGTCATCCAAAAGGCGACCGATGTTGACATCTGGAAAGCCGTCCTCGACCTCATCGCCACCGTCTCGCGAGCGACCCCTCCGGCGAGCATACCTCCCACCTCCTTAGGCACGCCGATCAAATCCACATCGTCGTCACAGAAAGGTTCCGAGCAGACGCGTGAGTTGGTGAATCCGAGGATCTTCGAGGAGATACGTGGCTGCACATTTCGAGGCGTCGAGGGCTTCTTTGCGAAGTACTTTGAGGGAGAAGACTGGAGCGACAAAGCAGATGCCATCTGTCGACGCGTACTGGGCCCAGACAGCGACGGTAATTGGGCCCAGTTTCCTGATCCTCCTACACAGGACGATGTCCTTGCCTGGTGGTTTCGTCTTCAAGAAGACCTTCTCTCGGAATCACGCGGCACCTACTACTCCACGGCGAGCAAAGCGGATCTTACCGGTTCGAAGGCGGAACGGCAAGTCGACCTTCTTTTGAGAGCTAGGGGTGGGAGCCCCTCGCAAAACAAACATGACTGGAGGGACATCCTGGTAGTTGGCGAGCTCAAAAAATCCAAGGAGGAGATCAGGACCAAAGGCACCCTGCTGCAGATGAGCCGCTACGTGCGCGAGGTCTTTGCCGCCCAGCCCACCCGGCGGTTCGTCCACGCGTTCGCCGTCTGCGGGACCAAGATGGAGGCGTGGGTGTTTGACCGCTCGGGCCTCTACAGCTCGGGCATCATCGATGTCTACGCGGACTCGAGACGGTTCTTTCAGGTGCTTGTGGGCTACACCATGATGAGCGACGAGGAGCTGGGACTGGACACCTTTATTGCTAGGGATGAAGGCGGCAACAAATCAATAACCGTCAAAGGGCCTGGGACCTCGGAGGAAAAGGTGCTGCGGCTGGGTGAAATGCTTTCCTTTCAACGTGCCATCGTGTGTCGCGGGACAACATGTTTTCTCGCAAACGATGGACAAGTGGAGGGCGTAGCCAAATTCTCGTGGGTGTCGGACAAGCGGCGGCCGGAGGCGGAACTCCTCGAGCTAGCGGGTCAAAAAAATGTCCAAGGGGTCGCCAGGATCATTGGCCATAGTGTCATCACTAGTATCGCCGACGTACGCTGCGGCCTGACCTTCGACGACAAGCGACACGACTTCAAAAGCGCACCCCCCAGTGCGGCCTCCTCATTTCATCAATCTCAACCGCTCACCGAGCTCCGTAGCTTAGGTCGAAAGTCGTCTTCCAGGAAACGCAGATCTCCGGATAAAGGGATACAGGCATCCAAACGATCGCGCTCCATCAATCAACCGTCGAGGGACACCCAGCAGGAGAATGAACTAGCTTTCTCCGTTCAGTCGGCGCACAAGCCAAGCCTCTTCGACAGGAATGGCGAGGAACCCTACGACAACCGCGTCCTCCGCTGTCTGGTGATCTCGCCCGCTGGGCGGCCGATCTACAAGTACGAGTCACCCTTAGAACTGCTCACGGCGCTTCGCGATGCAATAAAGGCGCATCGGTCTCTTTACCTGAATGGGAGCATCCTACATCGGGATATTTCGGAGAACAACATAATAATCACCGATCCGGAAAAGGCGGATGGTCACTCCGGCATGCTAATCGATCTGGATCTTGCCAAAGAAGTCGGTAGCGGGCGAAGCGGCGCACGGCACCAGACCGGCACGATGGAGTTCATGGCGATCGAGGTGCTACTTAATATCGACCATACCTATCGGCATGATCTTGAGTCGTTTTTCTACGTGCTTATCTGGCAATGCGCCCGTCACGGCTGGGAAAAATTAAATGCGCTACAGAGACAGGGACTGGACCGGCCCAAAGACAGCATATTAAGAGAATGGTATACCGGAACTTATAAGAAAATCGCAATTTATAAACGAGGCAACATGGAAGCTGGCGGGTTTGAGTACCTTTTGCAGGAGTTTCCGCCGGACTCCGAGTGCGTTAAAAATCTTTGTAGGACCATACGAGGTGTACTGTTTCCTTACGGGAAGGAAGGACTTATTGTTGGGACGCCGCAAGTCCCACAGAGGTTATATGATCCTATTATTAAGGCGTATGACGATACAATAGCTCTGATTGAAACCGAATAGGATTAATGATTGCTCTGTTCTGGCGAATAAGTATTATATATTAGCCTGCCCAATACATACGGTTTAATGTGCCCAGTTATTTCTCTAATTAGGTCCACTCCACTTCTTAGACAGCTTACTCAGTCAGCTACATGCTCTACTTTAAGGGTGAAGTATGGATCCCAGCAAATATTCTATGTCTCCTGGAGGCTTCACTTGCTCATTCATATCATTCTACAAACAAGGCCGAAATCAAATATGAAGACAAAAGAAAGCATTATCCCGGGGAGATGCCTCCCACAGTAGACCCGAAAAACAAATACGAGCAATCTACCAGGAGCCAGCGTTATATATTCATGATTTCTGTTGCACCCGCAACAGTGCAGGTCGCGATCGAATTCTTGGCTGCCGCAATCTATTTGACTTCCCGCTCTATGCGTATAATCCTTCCGTTCGACCATAGTTGTTGAACTCGTCGACAAATTTGTCATTCGACTTCGCGGCAAATTCCATGTGTTTGCTAGGACTGCTTTGCCAACGACTCGACAGAAGCTATTACCTTGTTGGGCTCAGCTCCGTCTGTATCCAGGGGTTCTTTATGTAGCTGTCTAGCCAGGAGAACTCGGTGCGTCTAAATGATGTCACCTTAGCACTTGCAGATAACGCTTTCGATCCCTTCAAGAGTGTGCTGCTTTCAAGGAAGCTTGTCCAGACAGAAGAAAAAAATATTAGTTGAATCTTTATTCAATAAGCTATTCCCATGCTATATTTAGACTTTGTGAGGCTTTTTCTCCGCCGACAGAACTAGAGGGAGGCAGACTTGGACACGAAGGTCTTTACTACTATTATTGTCGGGTATTGTCATTCCCGTCACCAAAGCTGTGATATCATTCACGCCAGATTCCACAGCCACTCCGCACAACTGGATCCCGAAGAAGCGGCTAGATTCGATTTTCTGGATACCGTCCCGTCTCTTGAAAGAGGGAGTAAGATCGGGGGCCCACCGGTAAACAAAAATTGGATAAGGATGACTTGTAGAGAACAAGAAGTAGCACTTGAGATGAGAAGAAGCTCCACAAGTGGAAGTGAAGAGTATTAGCAATGGAAGACAGCACATTGCAAAATTGCCACAGACAGAGGGAATGAGAGAATAGATTGCATTCACTATCTATCAAGGCGAGGGTCATAGCACAGAAGGAAGAAGATGTCTGATGAAAATAACGCTGAAGTATAGTTTTCTAATCTTATTACAAGGATCTACACATCTAAAGGATGATGGTGTAATCAGGGAAGTTAACTTTTCAATCAGGTTCGTTCCTTGTCCCCAGAAACACTAGTCCGGCCCGGCCAAAAGCTCAATGCCCTTGTTAGCGGTTGGTGTCGATGCAACCAATCATATCTGGTGGACTACCAGCCCTGCTTCCTATGCGCTAGTCTCACGTCCCGTGCGCACGGACATTTGGTGGAGTTGACTCTCTCAGCCGATTTGTTGGGTGACTTGTCGCAATGGTATTCGAGGCCCAGCCGAGCCAGTTCATCTTCGACTTCGACTTCATGATATTCGAGTAATGCCATTTACCACGCTGTATGTAGGTGTCTCCACCAGGGTGCCACTAGGTACTGCCTTCGGCTTGGAGTACGCGTCGAAGAAGGGCAATGCGAAAAGGAAGAAGAGGTCAACATATGAAGAATCCTTCGAGGCTGCAGGTTGAGTCTACATAGCCCAGCTCAGCACAACGCTCAGCCTAACAGCTTGCACCGCAACAGGAACCCCATTCACAGATCTTCGCTCGAGGTTTATAGTATGAGCTATGGGATATCAGGATGTATCTGGCCAGGGGTTGGGAAGAAACTGCACACTCGGGCGTCTTCTGCAGCTTCGACCCTGGTCGAAAGAACCTTCCGCATCTTGACGCCATTGTCTTTCTCGCTCACGTTCAGCTCTTTCTCGCTCGAGTTCAGCCAACAATTCTTGTATTTTCGGATCCATTTTAAAGGCATAATCTTTTTCTAATCTTCGTACAATGCTGTATGGGCTTAATTACACACAAAGTAACGGAACGGATTATCTTGCTTCCGGGCATATTTTGAAACGAACAACCCACCAGACGCTGGACAGAGATTCGAGATACAGGGTAGAAAGGGTTCTAGTCGGTTGTATCGTATACACTACTGTCTAATCACACATATAATATACAGCATGTCCATGCAATGCTACCCAAAGCGTCCCTTCACCACTCCAGGCTTGCGTAGCATGGCCGAATCCACATCCATTTGCCATCGTGCTGCGTGTTTCGTTCACTAGCCGCAGAATGACCTGATGTGCTGAAATTAGGTTCGAAGCTTTGAACCTCTAATAATCATATGAGTTCTTGATACCTCGACCATGTCGCGCGCCGTGCTGATCCGTATAAAAATTCACTTGGGCCAAGGCCTGCTTAATTCTCTTCGATGAGCTACCAAGGGTGGTGAACAGAATGCTGACTAATCTGCCACGCTTTAAAATAAGAAACAATTACCTTACGTTTGTGATATGCAGCTTAAAAATCCAAGCGTCGTGCTGCGAAGAACGTGCGCTCAAAAAACAGCCCGACCCAGTCGCTCGCTGATGTGCTGCATGATCCATGTCACCCCTAGTTGCTGAGCTGAGAAACACCTCGGTTGGGAGCGAATAGTCTTGTGTGCAAAAGAGGCGACCGAAGGGAGTCATTTTCTAAATCATCGATTGCAATCACTCAGGAACGGCAGCAACTTGCCAGCTGTGATCCGGGCCGTCCCGTTCACTAACGCCCCTTAACTGGTATACTTTGGTTGCCCAACGCCAAGTATTTCCTCTGCGCTTAAGCCCTTTATCGATTGGGAGACAAACAGCGCCGGATCTTTTAAGCAATAAGAACGCTAACACAGAATTGAAACGATAGCATCCGATCGAATCATGGTCTTCACCCTCCTCAAATTTTGGCCTCTGCCAGCGGCGGAAGTACCCAATCAATGGGTGAGAACCTGTGGATGTCTGGGTTGACACTTTGTTCGTGACGAATAAGTAGTACTATTTATTTGCAAGTTTGTGGCGGTTATCAAAATAAAATTCGTCTCGCGGCTGCTATTCCCGAGATATCCCATTTACGGGGCGCAGTGAGATCCATCCATTTCTGCCAATCGCCCGTCTGGCAAGCGGGCCTCATGATCTGCGCATACTCCCAGTAATCAGGGTACCAGCCGGCATACTCCCAGTCGAGGATGCCGGTAATGCGATAATGGTCATCAACCATGATGTTGCGTGGGGCAATGTCAGCGTGTGTAAAAACCGTACGGGATGATCGAGGGAGCATGTCTGGTAGCTCATTTTTATATCGCAGACCACCAAAATGAAGGTAGCGGTGGTATATTCGGGCTCTGACGTCTTCGTCTGTGTATAAAGGGGTTCCACAGCGGTCCAAGTCTTCGATTAGAGGGTCGAGAGTTGGCGAGCCGTCGGCAAGACACTGGAAAAACTGTTTTAAGGCAGGTGGTTGTGGGATTTCTCGGAGTTTGGCGATTTGATCCCATGTCTCATGGCATATAGACTTTTTTGTTTCGCTGTTCAACTTATCCCATAGGCTTTCTAGTGTAGTGCCTGGAATAGTTGTCATCCCGATCTCGCCGCTGCGATCACTTATGAGGCTGTAAATAACTTCAGGAAGAGGGACGGAGGTGCGCTTTGCTACCAGCTTCATAGCTTCAACCTCAAAGCGCCTTACAGCCGTTCCGCCCTTGGAAACATAAGAATAATCTCGCTCAAGAACCAACCGACCGCCTTGCTTGCTTAGAACAGTAATCACATCCCCCTCTAATGGTGGTCCTTTCTTCGCATCAGGCGTAATTCTCAAGAGCGTTTTATCCAGCTTGAGATAAGTCTCGCCCACATGGAGATTTTCATATGCAAATGGAACGCCATCCTCACGGTTGTGTGTGCTTTCTGATTTGGAAACTATTAGGGCCGGGATTGAGGCGTTGGACGCCATGGTTTCGGGTACTCGGGTTTGGCTTCCGCAGATGTGGAAAGAGAATTATCCTTCATCGCATGCTTTAAAACATTTGACGCCCATCAACGAATATGTTGCGAGCGACTTGAACAACCGGAGCGGAACCAGGCTCGAGACGTTCGGAATATTTGTTTTTCCGTCCCAGCCAACCACCAGCCTGGCCTGCTCAGCCTCCCCAGGACGACATGCCGGCTACGGTGTGATTGCCTAAAATTAGTTCCGAGATCAGGATATCATTGACTGAATATCCCTAACCGCCGACATCCATGTCTAGCTGGGTTCGGAGTGCGACGAAATTCATGCATGCGATGCAGCCAGAAATGGTGGAAATCCATTCCATCAAGAAAGTGCGCTTGATTGACTCATGACTCACTGTAATGAAACGTGCAGGGGCTCTGGCACCTACTGCTACTCAATGCTCCCCCCTCACAGATGGCAAGAGCACAGATCGGCGGCTTTCAACTCATTGGCTGCGGACGGTATATTCTGAAATGAGTTGGGGGCGCCTATACTCCGTAACCGCCGTGTTATTATCAATCCTGCCACGATGATGAGCGGAGGAATCCAGATAAAAAAGGACGGAGAATGGCCTCCGATTTACTATCCCTTCGCAGGTGCAATAGTTCCAACGTTCGTCTTAAAGATTACACAGATATATATCCAAGCCTTTAAAATATTTCCTCAAAGTTTGTGGCCCTTTAACGCATCCATATCATGAATATTCGTGTCTTAGTGCTAATGCTTTACTAGATGAGTAACTATCCACCCCCAGGCACTCCTTTCAAGTCCGTCGGCTTTTCTGAATATTGCGTGTTCAACGGCCGTGAGTTCAGGCGCAAAAGGGGGACGCAACAATGGATCGAATCCGAGGAACTCGAAGGCAACTTGCCTACACTAGACCGTGCACTACGCCTCTCGCTTATCCAGCAGAATCAAGCCGACGACGAACCCCAGCATTGGGTCACTCTTTGTCGCCCGCGAAAACGAACCCGGCCCAGTTTACCAAGTCAAAGGAGATGCTGAATGCATGAGTTATCAACCTTCACCCGGTCCAACCAACATCCTCCAGTCGGCGTCTTTCTCAAATGCATACAACCTTGCCGTCGTCACGGACGCCCAGGCGCTCATTGTAAAACAGGTGGCCGAGAACGAACCCCCTCCGAGAGCAGTAAATCGACAGGCTGTTGTGGAAAATTGTCAAGGCTGGACCATCCGAGTGATTGCTAAACTTGTGGCCAGAGGTATTGTGGACAGTGCTAAGCTCGAGATGGCTAGGTCCATGGTCCAACCAATCTGATGGGAGATCCCTATTTCTATTGTGGTGATTCTGGGGTTTGTCTTCATCCATGGGGTTGGGGGTTGATTGTTGTATTGCAAGTATCCGTGAGCCTTTTTTTCAGGTCAGACTGGACTTATAGTTGTGGAGCAAATGTATTAAGTTCTTTTTGGACACCATGCAATCATCCCATTAGTGTCTGGAGGGTGAATCAATGGTCGATATTGTCAGATATAGAGTACAAGAAATGTGTGCCTCACTGTGGTCTTTTGGTATCTGATGACCTGGTCGAGGCACTCCGGGTTTAAAGGCCTCCAATCGAACTCGGCGGCGATCCATATATTCAGTTCCGCCCGGCATATTAACTTGGCCAACATTTAGCCAGCTACCTCTTTTCCAGATCCCGGGAATATGAAATAGAAATACTCACTGTGCCTGTGCCATCCTGAAACAAAATCTGGCTATCATCTCACGAATCGTAGGTCCAACCTTCTCCAAGGAGAACAGAGCGTAGAGTCTCGCTCAAACTTAGCCTTTGTGGCAGTTATAAGACGCCTAACCACCATATAAAAATTCTCTAATTCCTGCCGTATGTGCGTCTACAATGTTTGAAGAAATTCGTATGTACTTGTAATTTAGTGATTCAAAGTAAGCGATGACTTGTTAGCCAAATTGGTCAAAGTGGGTGCTTCAAGCGGGCGCATTCAGAGAGAGAGGTCTGGGCGTTTTCTCGAAATACGGTTTGGGGAGATTGTATCCGAATTGGGATTTCCAAGTTCTGGAAATGTGTGTGCCGGCCAGGATAGATATAATGAAGAAGAAAAGTAAAGTGAAACAATATGAAGAAACCAAACATGGAAAACAAAAAAGGAACGAAGAGAATGAAGAGAATGAGGATGCTGTAAACTAATGGAGATTCGGTGTATTGATAGCGTGAATTGCTCTTGTTTTGTCTTTTTAATCCACCATGCCTTTGACTGACTTTTGCTGGGCTCTGTTGGAAATCCAACACCAGTCTCTCCCGAACGCGGTCAAAACTACGATCGTACGAATCTAGCGCTGCAGACAAAATAAAGCATTGCTACCTAATAACTCTTTATATAGCCAGCGAAATCTCGACGACATGATCCACAGGTCTCTGGGTCAGGAGAAAGGCACCCTGGGCAGAACCTGTGCCCGCACAGGAGGGTTTTCCACTCTGAAGGGATGGTATAGCATATTGGACATTGACATCGATGCTCCAGTTCGCTGACCTCAGCCTCTAGCTTGCAGATCTTGTCGTTTTTCCTGATCAGCTCTGCACGGTGCTTGATTTCTAGCTCGGTGTTCCTCTTCTTCAGGCGCTGCACTTCTTCTTGTAGGTCCCCGATCTTCGCGGACTCTGCTTCAAATATGGTGTGAATTTCTTGATTTGCTGTCGCCTATCCTAATATCAGCAAAGGACAAGTCCGGCTCGGCTGGGAGAAAGTTCTTACCAGAGCTACTTTCAAGTTGGGTATTTTGCGTTTCTTCGGCGGCTGTGATGTTGTGGATGCGGAGGAATTGAGGAGCGCTGGGCCATCAAACAGAGCCTCATACTCCGGGAGGCTATAGTCCACAAGGCGTCTCTTTCTCCGTAGCTCTCGCGGCGGGGACCGAGGTGTCTCTGCATCTGTATCGTCGTCGATGACGATGGCGCTGCGGGGTTCAGCTTCGGTAGAAGCCATGGCTGAACAGGACCCCTCGGTGGATGGAGAGTGGAAAAGGAATTGAAAGAAATATGGAGTCAGAGAGGGGGGGGAAGGCCATATATATACCCAACGGCCGAAGGAGAGGTCACGGGATTTTACCTCTTCGTTGACGTACAGCTTGCGTATCAGGATGGCGGAAAGGGGCGTTGATACGGGATGTCGCTCCGGCTGCTATCCAGGACCGTTAGGAGTGAGAAGAATGATGGATCTAGAGGGGAGGGACAAGAGGGTAGGTATCATTCGGCTGTGGCTGCGTACAGTAGAAGAGGGGATCGCATGGCAGTGCGATGGACAGGAGGGCTCGGCTTCTCCGGTTTTATTCAAGGCCACCCTACCCTCACCTGCCCACCAAGGGCCGTTAACGAACGGCCAGGAGAGGGCCACCTTTAGGCTACCTTAATCATGATATCACTTTTATATACATAGACATGGAGTAGCATTACGTCTCACCACTCCAGGGCTGCAGATGCTACTGTGGCACCGGCGGATTCGACTGTACGCATTCCCTTTTCTTGTCTCCGAAGTGTAGACACCCGCTGGCGCAGCGCCGATTCCGTCCTTTCTGGAAAACACCTCTCTATCTCCGGCCAGGGTCGGCGCTCCTCCATCATGCTCAAAAGCCGTGCGTCATCCTCCGGGAGCCATCGCCACAGCTTGTCTCTGTGGCCCTTTCTCCCCTCGCCGCGCTCACGCTGAGATTTTCTGATCTTGTGAGGAGCCGAGCGACCGGCTGACCGCACACTCTCGTCTCCCACCCATATTGCCGGCGTTGAGTTGGGCATGCAACTCAACAAAGCACCTTCAAACAGCCATGAAAGGAACTGCAGACGCTCGTCGAGCGGCAGCGACAGGAAATGGGAGCAAAGGGCTTTGGAGGAGCCTTCCATAGATGATACAGAGGCAACGTGAAACCGCTTTGCGGCCGGTTCTTCTGGTTGCTGTGACCCTCGCTTGCGTCTCCTAGACTGTTCGTCGCCGAGGAAGTCGTCGCTCGTGCTGTAAAGGCAAGGCGCATCGACGTCAGTGCCGCAACGGGCGGGGTGGATCTGCTGATGATCCAGAGCGTGAGTGTCATCATCTCTCTGAGAATTTCTCTTCCAGCTGTCAGGCCTCTCTCCGGATCCTTGGTGATGGTTGGGGGTGTCACAGGACATAGATGGGGGAGGTTCAGGATAGGGATAAGTGGCCTTTGCGTTCGCAAGATCATCACCTTGCTGGACAGGCTGGTGAAGGTCACTAATGTCCCAAGGCACGTCGTCGGCAAGGATCGCTGGGTCAATGGGGATGTTGTTCTGGAGATCCGGGAGCATGAAGAAGTCTTCTAAGCTACCATCTGAGCTGGTTATGCTTGGCGACGACGAACCAGCCCCTCTCCCAAGGGGAGACAGTTCGGTCGGCGTATCAGAGAAATTATCTTGGACATCACGGGCAGGGGTGGGATGCGAATTCCAGGTGTGATGTGCCAGATCACAGAGAGATGATACGCCATGCCGGGGATTCTCCGAACTGGGTGGTGGTCTAGACATCTCTCTTGGTTGGGAGGGTGAGCTCGACGGCGCACACGGCTGAGTATTACCACTGATAGGCACGCAAACTTCGGCCGGCGGCTTCGAAGGAAGGCCATGATTGGGGGGGAGCAGGGTGTTGGGGAAGACATCACAACGCGGGGCTGGGCTTGGGGGAGGGGCTTTTCTGGATTCTTGGGTGCGAGAATTGGGGCATTTGCGCAGTGAGAATGACTTGGGGTGCCGCGGCGTCCACGGCTTGAAGTTGTTCACATGAAACGCGAGGGCCATCTGGGAGTGGGAGATTGGGGATCTGAGAGGGGAGATTCTGAGTCAGAGGTGAATCGGGGGAGTAGGGAGGAGAGTGGGCATTGGGCCTGCTGGGAAGAGCGTGCGCGGGCGAGAGAAACAGATCACGAAATGCCAGTGATTCCGTAGGAGGCTCGGCCACCCTTTATAGGTTCTCTCAGCGCAGAGGCTTCAACTGCCTCGCCATCTCCCACATAGGAGAGGAAGCAACGGGGCGAATTCCACTGATCCCTGAATCTTCCCTGAGACTGCTGGCGCGTCCGTCCTCGTCAGAAAGCCACCTGGAGGTCGATAACCGGCGCCCTGCACCAATCGCATATGGTTATCGCCACTTCCAACCCTGACATGTCGAGCATGCAATGCTGACGAACCCCCCCGGGGCCGACCTGCAGGCGCACACTGATACCAATAAAGAAGTGCGGCAATTTTGCTATTGGCTGGGGAAAGGAAATGAGGCAGTCTGCCTTGGTGGGTCAAACGGCGATGCAACCCTCCATCACTCAGAGCTCAGCAAGCCGCCCGGCTCCAGGAGGCTCGCCCGCTGGTCTTCCCCGTGCGCCTCGATCGATCGTCGCCTGTTTTTCCGCACAGATCTCCACGGATGAAAGGCACCCCAAGACAACAGAGTACGGGAGAACAGATCGACCGGATAAAACCACAAGAAAAATGAGAAAATGAGAGGGCGGGAGCGGAAACTCTCGACCTCCCAACCAAAAATAAAAAGTAATAAAATAAAATAAAAATAACATAAACCATTGACAATCTGCGGTTCACAGTCACTGATCATGCAGCATGGCGATTGCAATTGCAACATGGCTGCAAATGCCCCAGCAGCCTAGACTCCAGATCAAGCGAAGTAACACCGGGAGGGGCGGCGTGGATGGCTCAGAAACCAATGAAGCAGCAGCCCGCGAGGTGGTCAGAAGACAGACATCCGTTCGGCGACTCCGCGGGCGCAGGAAGAAAAAGGGGCGAGGGCCGGGTAAGACGGCACCGGTTCCCTGCAGGAAGGAGGGGGCAGTGCATCCGAGCGAGCGAGCGAGCGAGAGAGAAAGAGAAAGAGGGAGAGAAAGAAAGAGGAGGAGAGAGTGTGTGGTCGTTGCGAGGGCGCAGGATGGGTTTTTATAGATCGAGCGGCCGGCCGTTGAAGCGGCGTGAGAGGGCGCAAAAGCGGCGAGCGGGCGCGCCATCCCCGAAGCGGCAACGGTGCTGCCGCAACGGGCCTCGCGCGCGCGGCGGACCAATGGCGAGGGCGCTCGGCGGGCTGGGCGCCCCGCTAACCGGCACAAAAGATACTATTTTTATAAACGACCTTTTAGAATTTAATTATAAGGTTTTGAAAGTTAAATATTAATATTATTAAAATCAATATTTTAAACAGAAATTCGAATTTTAAACTATTAAAATTAAAATATAAATTGCCAGAAACTTATCATTTATATTGAGTATTATATCAATTTTTATCGACTGAATAATAATTTTATTCAATTTTATATCATTCAAAAGTACTGCAATTAAACTAGAATATTAGTATCTTTGCGGTGAGTATGACTGATATTCAAAGAGTTTTTGAAACGCTTGAGTCTTAGAGATATAACTAGTATATATGTAATTTTAACGAGGGGTGTTTTATGTCTGAATGCTTAAACCACAATGAAGGTTTTTCCAACCGAATTTTAAAAACCAAATTCAACCTTTATAGAACCGCATTCAAGTACACCCATCAATAGGACAAAAGCTGAATGTGATGATAATAACGAGAGCCCCATTTTTGATAACTATGTCCAGCGCTTTTAAAACCTGTTGTCAGCACAATATAGATCGGTGTCACGTGGATCAACTCTGACTTCCAAGGTTCCACGGTTCCCTTAACAATCCCCTTTCCTTTCCAGCTGACCGACAAGCCTCGAGTTCTGCTGTTTAAGTATCTGTTACGTTCGCAGCAGCGCTGCTAAGTTCTACAGTCAGCCTGAGATTGATGGTCTTCTCATATATTCTATGCCCGCGGGTGGAAACTTCATAAACGTTATCAGATTTAAAAGTGCTTAAACTGCTCTAAGCATGATGATCCCGAAATTTATATCCCGAGCGGTTGTTCGGCCTGCATCCACTTTTTCACGGCCTACCAAAGCTGCAGGGGATATATCATCCGTCTTCCCTAGCTTGAGGCCTGATTTCAAGCCTCAGCCCCTCCCATCTCGGTTTCAGGAGCTCAAAATAAACCTCTTCCACAACAGGGGGGGTGTTCTGGAGGATAGCTGGGCTAGATTATTAGCTAGCCTCAAGGATGAAGTGGAAGGGATCCGTGAAATAGGTGGTAACGTATGTTTTTTGACGAGTTGCTACTAATTTTTGAAAATAGAGAAGAACAATCCAGAGGATTGACGCCATGGACACGTTACAGGTTATACCATGCATCGATTACTCCGATGTGGTATCGGGGAATGTTGACCCTGGTAAGATAGAGGAGATTCGTCATCGTGGATCTGCAGTTATAAGGGGTGTCATTCCGAGGTCGACCGTTCTCGACCTAAAACAGCAGGCCAGAGATTATATCTCTGCTAACAGAGACAGGGTGAAAGCGTTTCCCCCTACCTCACCTGCTATCTATGAACTTTACTGGTCACCTCCACAAGTCACAGCTAGGGCCCATCCGAATATGATGCAAACCCAACGCTTCCTGCAAGGGATTTGGCACTCTTCGGACCCCCACACGCAGCTCTCCACAACATACCCCCTCACGTACGCTGATCGACTTCGCATCCGGGACCCAGGCGATGCCAAGTTTGCCCTAGGCCCTCACGCCGATGGAGGATCCCTCGAAAGATGGGAGGATCCAGAATACTCGAGAGTTTATCAGAAAATCCTCGACGGCTCTTGGGAGGAATATGACCCCTGGGATGCGAAGCATCGCATTCACGCTAAGATGGATCTTTACAATGGAGCTGGTGCCTGCTCCATGCTTCGATTCTTCCAGGGATGGCTATCGATGTCGGACACGGGGCCCGGAGAGGGCACCTTGCACATATGCCCTATGCTAAAACACAGTACTGCATATTCAATCCTCCGTCCATTCTTCAATGTCAATACCTCGGAGCCGCTGCTGGACTCTTCATTCCCAGGCTCGGTTCCGGGAGCTTGCCAGGAATACTCGGACCTCACTCATCCACATCTGGAACTTGACACTACCATGGTATCCGTACCTCGTGTGGAACCGGGGGATTACGTTGCATGGCATTGCGACTCGCTCCATTCGGTGGACAAGGAACATCGAGGGAAAGGTGATTCAAGCGTGCTTTATATCCCCGCAACGCCGCTATGTGAAATGAATGCAAGATATCTTGAGAAGCAGCGCCAGGCTTTTTTGTCATTGTCTCCCCCTTGGGATTTCCCGGATGCTGGAGGACCTGGTGAGTTTGGCTTTACTGGAACTGTGGACTGGTCATTCGTTAGCAAGGACGGTCTGCAGGCAATGGGCATGGGGTCTGTTCCTTGGCAGGTCCATGAAGGTATGTCTCAGGGTGAGAAGGAAGTTATTGAGACTTGCAACAGAATTGTTTTTAAAAATGAGTTGTAATGTGAGTTTTGTAATATTTTGTAGGCAAATTCCCTTTTGTTCATTTCTTGTAATTTGGAATAGTTAGCATTCATAGCAAATTTCTTGTTCAATTAAATAAAAATAAAATCATTACCTACCTGTAGTTATTTGTCCGTAACCAATTCGTATTACTATCCACAATAGGAATATCATTATCAAAAACTGCATCATGAAATTCCTTAATATCGCCCCAGAAGGATGTATTTTAGCCTAACGGGCTGACTACGTTTATCCTTTATGCGCATCTCAACCAAACCCAACAGCCAACCTCCAATAATTTCTTCAGCCAAGCTCACACCATATCTTCCCCTCCACCCTCCCCCAAATGACAGCCGTAATCAGATGAAATAATGCGGCTTCACGCGGCCTTCATCCTGCTGGCCTCCCTCACACCCTCTTCCCTAGCAATTTTCGCAGACGAAGCCTACCACAATGATTACCACCATGCCCTACTGGGAACCCCCCAACAACGGTCGACCTTCTTCCACCAGCCCAGCACCTCCTCTGCTGCTTCGTTGCTATACACTCTTACCGAAAAACACGTCCTGGGCGCCGTGAATCCGAAAGATGGCGCGATTGTCTGGCGGCAGAACCTGGCTAGCTCCGTGACATCGGAAGATGCTCAAACGACACAATCTTTCCTAAGGGCGGTTGATGGTGAAGATTCGGTGGTCAGCGCAATTGGTGGGAAGGTCGCTTCGTGGGGCGCATTGGATGGGAAGTTGGCTTGGGAGCATGAGTTCCATGACGGCCCTGTTGTCGATTTGGAGATCTTTGGTCATGATGAGTCGACGGACCAGAAGCAGGTCGCGAAGGATGCTTTGGTGCTCTTTGGTCGGAAGAATGGCATTGTTAGACGACTAGATGGCGCGTCGGGGAATGTTAAATGGGAATACGTAGATGATACGTAGGTTAATTTTTATCCATTGGTTCTTGAAATTTAGAACTAACTATTGCTGTTCCCAGTGATGACGTTCTTTTCCAAGTGTCAACGTCTCAGACGGCGGTTTACTCTATTTCCTTACACTCTGCAATGCGAAAGGGATACAAAATTAAAGTCACCTCGCTGGATTTGAAGACTGGGGCTTACGCCAATCACTATACACTGAGTTCTGACAGCGAAGTTTCATCTCCAGAGTCCATCATTTTCGTCGGTGCCAACTCGATATCACCCTTGATTGTTTGGGTCGACAGTGCATGGAAAACGATCAAGATAAATGTAATTGGGACCAAGCATATCCACTCCATCATTGTTGAGAACAACAGCGACGAAGATGTCGAAAGGATCGAAGTTCACGCACCTCAATCTCTCAATGCCGAACCACATTTCCTGCTGCATTATGCCACGAAATCCAAGTCTTGGGCGGAAGTATATCACATAGATATTAAATCGGCGTCGATAAACAAAGCGTACGACCTTCCTCTCGTCGGCGAGAGCTCTGTTTTCGCCACGAGCACCAGGGATGCCAACGTTTACTTTACTCGCATTACGAAAACTGAGACCAGCGTTGTCTCGTCTGCCTCCCGTGAATTCCTTGCGAGATGTATCATGAGCAAGAAAATCACTGAAAGTGCGTGCCACGCAGTTTCGGAAGTTGTTTCCCGCGGCTCTACCTATGCAGTTCGCTTTGCTCAAGTTTTAGAGTCGGGTGACTGGATGCTCGTTCGAAACGGAGAGATTGGATGGAGCAGGCCGGAAATATTGACCGAAGCTGTAGCCGCTTCTTGGGCTGATGTAAATGGGGGCGAGAAACTTGCTCATGAGTTGGAAGTTGAAGGTCACGAATCGGTGATAGGAGCATATATTCACCGTCTAAAACGCCATGCGAAGGACCTGGTTAGTTTGCCAGAATGGCTCCAAGGATTGCCTGTTCGTATCCTGTCAAGTTTCGTGGCTAGCGAAGCTACTGACTTGAGCAACTTTGGACTGGGGAAACTGGTGATAATCGCAACGCGGAAAGGCTACGTTCTTGCTATAGACTATGCGACAAAGGGGAAAGTTGCGTGGAAACGCAAGGTCGTTGAAGCGCTTAATGGCGACTGGAAGGTGAAAGCCATCAGCACTGCTCACTCTGTTGCGACAGTATATGTCGAAGACGGTAGCTTCGTTAAAGTTAACGTATCTACTGGGGAGATCGTTGAACAGGGAAAACTCTCTGAGTCCCTTGAATCAGTAGCCTTGATCTCTAGTGGGGGCACCCCGGTTCCAGTCAGCGTGGGGGAAGATGGCATTCCTGATTTATCTGCTGTTTCCGTGGACATCAACACATTCGTTGTGACGCTGAACAATGGCCGAGTTCTTGGTTGGAATTCCGCCAACACCAAAGAGCCCCTTTGGGAATTCATACCACCCAGTGGTCAGAAACTCATTCATGCGATCTCACGTCCTGCTCATGATCGAGTTGCATCGATTGGGAAAGTACTCGGAGATAGATCTGTTCTTTATAAATACCTGAACCCTAACATTGCCCTCCTAATTACCGTCGGGGATTCTACAGCCAATTTCTATCTCCTTGATGCCATATCTGGGCAAATATTGCACTCAATTACCCAATCGGGGGTCGATACCAGCCAGCCCATTGCATCAGCCTTATCCGAAAACTGGTTTGCCTACTCCCTCTGGGCCGACGTAACAAACACCTCAGAGTCAAAGGGCTACCAGCTGGTAATCTCCGAATTTTACGAATCCCCGATCCCCAACGACCGTGGCCCATTAGGTGACACTGCAAACTACTCCAGCATCCACACCGACACAGGAATTCCACGACCACACGTAATCTCTCAAGCCTATATAATATCCGAACCCATCTCGACCATCGCCGTCTCCCAAACCCGCCAAGGCATCACTACCAAGCTGCTCCTCTGCTCCCTGCCCGAATCAAATGCAATCATCGGCATCCCGCGCCAGCTCCTTGATCCCTGCCGTCCAGTTGGTCGTGCGCCAACCTCGAACGAAGCAGAGGAGGGGCTAGTGCAGTACTCTCCCTATCTAGAATTTGATGGCAGATGGTTCCTCACCCACTCTCGCGAGGTCATTGGGATTCGCAACATTGAATCGAGCCAAACGTTATTGGAAAGTACCAGTCTTGTCTTTGCGTATGGGTTAGATGTATTTGGTACGCGAGTGCATCCCAGTCAAGCATTTGACATCCTAGGCAAAGGATTTTCGAAGGTGCAGTTATTATTGACTGTTGTTGCTCTGGGGATTGGAGTTGCGATGTTGGCTCCGATGGTACGTCTTCGTTGTTCTTTTTCTTTTTGTTTACCCACTGTTTACCCCCTTGAATTACAGCTCCCTTAAAGTTCCGTTGCTATGCTTCCCAGTTAACTCTTTCCACTCTCTTTCCACAGGCCCGACGGAAACAAGTAGACATGAAATGGAAGTCCTGAAATGCTACCCATAATTCACACAGCATCATACGTTGAGATGTGAAGTCAATCAACAAGCTATACTCCCTCCACCAATCCGAAACTCCTCATCTTGAAAGAACATGGCTGTGTTATAATTTACATTTGGAGAAGAGAAAGAACAGCATTTCACGATAAATATATCTCTTTTATTGCCTGCTTGTTTTTATCTACAGATATACAACTTCTGAAAAGGTTACACAATATGTAGGAACTGTTTTTCTAATAGACAATTAAAGAAACATGATGTTTAGCTCAAAATTTGTGCCTGTACGGGAGTATAATGAGACCAAACAATGACATGAGTGTTTGCATTCTTACTCAATGACGACAGGGAGAATAGTAAAATCTCTTGATCATATAGCATCATATCCACTACAAAAATAAAATAAAGTATTTGAAGAAACAAAACTTTCATGAATGACAAGATACAGATAATTCCCGGCTCTGCTTATAATTGAATGATGTAAAATCCCGTCCAAAAGTAGGGAGTTCTGAGAAGAATCCTTGTAGAGAAAATGATGAGAAACATGAAAAGCAGTGCGAATCCTCCGGTAGGAAAACAGCAAAGACTATAGGCATAGATAACCTCACCGCCCGCGCAAATATCAAACGGATAAAAATTAAAAATTAAAAAAATAAAAAATAAAAATCCAAAAGGCGGGAATGAAAAAGTGAGAATAATGAACCTGTAGGCAGCTTTTGTATAGCCAATACGATGTTCCGCACTCAGTTGGTAGAAAGTTAATTCCAACTTCTTTTCCATCCCTCCCTTGCCCTTGTCCAAAGTTAAGATGGAATCCTATAACTGAGGGAAAGGGGAAAAAAAAAGAAAAAGAAAAGAAAAAGAAAAGAAAAAAGGAAAAAAGAGAAAAAGAGAAAAGGAAAATAAAGTAAAAAGAGAGGAGGGGGGGGGGGAAATCCTGAGAACTGAGAAATCAAGGTACATGTGGCAGCAGGGTGGTAATAAACGTTCTTTTTGGTTGTTTTCGTAGCTTAGCCCCAACGTTGTCGGTCCTCCAGGATCAGATTAAATCGTCTCTATAGGGTGGAATCATGTCCAGCGTCGTTAAACAGGAGGAAAATGATACATAGGTCGAGTGCTATTGCCTTGCCATTCCTTGGGTGAGATGTTCTTAAACTGTAGCCAAACAGAGACGAAACCGAGCGAAGAAGACACCAATCGAAGAAGAAAAGGAAAACCAAAGGAACAGGACATATATCTTTCCCTTCACCTCCATCTGTTCACCGCAGATTGCTCAGCAGCTGCCTTAGAGAACGAGGTCCACGGCTGCGGCGCGTCCGCAGCATCATTGTCAATTTTTGTCCCCTTGAATGCACAACTACTGCCGAGCCGGGGAAAGCCCGCAATCCCATGAAATGTAACAGCTTCGTTGCTTGTGAAATCAATGTATCCATCTTGCGACGACGTTCCTTCTTCAGTATGTATCTCTCCTTCACTCGTTGACCGGCCACGCCAGCTGAAATAAACCCGACGATCCTTCACGGTCGCAGATTTGGCCGCATCATCCTCACCACGAGCCGGCGCAGCACGACCACTCTTACTCATTACGGCACGGAATTTGTCTAGCGTAGGTTTGTCCGCAGCGAAGAGCATCGTGCCTTCAATAATTCCCAAATTGAACCCGCCAATCAATCCCAGCGGGCTTTTCTGACGTCCGTGTAATCGTCAGCTCCATCTCCTCAGCCTCGTCCGGCCAATTCTCCTCCACCTCGCTACACTGTAACGAATAAATACCAATGATTTTATCCAGAGTCAAG